CGTATGAACATAGCCTATCTACTAATTATCTATTTACTATAGAGGGAGCAGATAAATAAATTTTCAATACAGCTTGTTGGTAATGTATTACGAATTAGAAGCAACTACTGCAGCTGTGAACATTTTTAATATATAATTTCGCGTGGTAGGCAACTGTTGAAATTGGACCTCCAGCTATGAGTTCCGCAAACCTTCAAACGCCGTTTCGTCCCCGCTGTCAACAAAAGAAATTCTATTATCAACCCCGTCCCTGCACGCACGGCAGACACGTAGAATATACGCCCAAAACAATATTTGCGAGAGGGAAAGTATTAGATATGAACATTAACCACGAATCCCAGAAGTCGGAGGTCATCAAGTCAGAATGCGCCACAGACGTGTAACGGCGGGAATCCAACCTCTGGGGTAAAATATAGGGAAGATAAATCGAGTGTACCTCTGTTGACATATGACAATGCCGTCCTCGTCGCGTTTTTCTGGAGCAACGGAGGGCCTGATAAGGTCGGGCTGCTGATTGTCGGCGATATGACTATACTTGGGGCTCCCGAGATAACTTAACGGGCCGCCAAGTCTGCAGTAAGGGGCAATTTTAGTTCTTTATGCTCGAAACATATTTTGCCAACGACCGGGTGCCAGTCCGTATATCTAAATATTAATAAATTGAATGGAAATGAGTTTTTTCGCAAAATAATAACTGGTAATAAATAATTTTACAAAATAAAAATTAAAAGTGACATGCCTAAATACAAACCAATACAAAAATACATAGGTACCTAATATACTGAAATTGTCAAATAATGCAACAATTCAAAGAAATAACTTGACGTATTTTTGTTGTTCTAACATCACCATTAACAAAGACCAACATGTAAAACCAGCAACTTGAGGGTTGCTTTCGCTGTACAGCAAGAATAAAACGATCTCTCAACGGCAATAATAAAGTATTTTATTGAAAACTAAGTTGCATAGAAATTGACGTGTTGACGGGGCGAGTGTTCGTTGGAGAGTCCTTGTGTGTGGAGTCGGTCGTAGGTATAAGGTACGCATCTGGTCGCCGGCGCCAGTAGCCCGCCGTAGACCCTTCCTGGAAGGTTGGTGCATCCGGCGGCGCTCTTGACGTAATGCTTAAAAATGGGTCACTTACGAACATGTGTACCCGCAAACTAAAGAAGACACAAGAAGGAATTTTACTATAAGACAAAGGTTTTTAATAAAAAATTTTAAATTGTTTATTGATTCATAAAATATACAGTGTAGGATTATATATAGAATTACATATCGGGTAAATTTTCTTTTGTCGTAATTTTCCATTATCGTTTTGTATAAATGCTGGTAGTCGTGGCCTTGTTGACATAAACCTTAGATTTCAAAAAAAAAACATAAGAAAAAGTTCGACTGCGTTAAATTGCATGATCTGGGCGGCCAATGCTGATCACCAAAACGTGAAATTACACTACCAGGAAATGACTCATGCAGTAATTTAATTCATTTTCGTGCTGTATAGCATATAGCACCGTCTTGTTGAAACCACAAATAGTCCACATCCACATCTTGCAATTTAATCACAAAAAACTGCTATGTCATGTCACGATAACGAGCACCATTAACTGCTATTGCCAGACCAGCCGCATTTTCGATAAAGAATGGTCCGATGATACCTCAAGCCCAAAATCCCCACCAAACAGTGACACGATGTGTTTCTTAACCGTCACCCGTGGATTTTCTAAACCACAAATGCGACAATTTTCTCAATTAACGAAGCCATCAAAATGAAAATGAGCCTCAGCATCCACTTCTTCCATAATCCATTCAATGAAATATCTTCACTCAGCATGGTCAGTAGGCTTGAGTTCTTGGGTCAATTGAACTTTGGAACCGTGAAAATGCAAATCTTTCATGAGGACACGTTGAGAACTTCTGGAAATGGCCAATTCTTGACCACGGTGTCGTATTGCGCTTTGAAGGACGGCCAGAGTGTTTAAAGTCACTAATTGATCCAGTTTTCCTGAATTTTTAAATTAATCTCTCACAGTTGATGAAGTTAAATGACTATTCTGACCATATTTTGAACGAAAGTTGTTAAATGTAGCTGTCAAACCATTATTTTTAAAATATTGCTCAACAACGAACACGTTTTGTACTTTCGTTCGTTTCGTTTCGTTGACAATACTTGCGCAAAATAAAAGTTTTGCATGTATTTTTGGACATCCATTATAATGAAAGACCTCTTTGTTGCTACATTTTACTTAGGATCGCCTCATCAGGTAGCCTCTAAGTAAAATATGGAGACAAAAAGATCTTTCTGTATTAGTTGTTCTCTTATTAATTTTTGTAAAAGCTGATGTTTGAACAACAAAAAATACAGGCTGTTAAAAATTCGCTTCTCACTACAGGGATCTCGGAAACGGTAAGAGGTACGATGGAGGCAAAGTTGCGTAATCAGGGGATCAACATTATGCCTCTAAAAAATCAAGGCATGATTAGTTTTCGAAATATTTGAAAAAAAAAAACGAAATTTTGGAAATCCGTTTTTGTTTCATTTCAGCCTTGTTTGAGGTGATATTGAAAAAAGAAGAACACTTTCTCATGGCCCCTTTTTGCCTTTGAATGGCATAATCAGTTTTTATCTGTAACATTTCGTCTCTCCAGGACCATCATCAACTTCATTTTTTTAAATATGACCCTAGAAATTTTATTACATTTTTTGCAAGCCTTGATGATTCCCAATAATGTACTGCCTCAGCCCGAACCAGATTCAGACGTTTTGTCTCGAAAAATGCATCTTCAGTGTATTCGTTCAAAATTATCTAATTTTACTATTATCACCAAGCAAGTTAGCCTTGATTTTTTAGAGGCATAATGTTGGTCCCCTGATTATGTAACTTTGCCCCCATTTAAGCTACAGTTAGTATCTCTTATCGTTTTCGAGATCCCTGCAGTGAGAAGCGAATTTGTAACAGGCTGTATATCATATTTATTTTAATGATTTCATTATTTAACATTTTATTATAGTATAAGGTATTTATGTGATTTTGTATTAATTATATTTAAGTATATTAAAAAATGTAAATATCTTTAAAAATAATATTCAATTCTTATGAATTATAAACAATAAAAAATAAACATATATAAGCCAATAGCTTGAATAATGTATCAAGCAGGGGTTTCTGCAAGACGAATATACTTGGTTTATTTACTTAGAGAACCTCTTGGGAATTTAGTTATTTACATTAAAGTAAGGAGTTGCTTCTTCAGATCTGTTATAATATAATTATAATACAGAAGAAAATATTCAATTATTCTATTGTAAGTAAACATCATTTTTAGATAATGATATTTCGGTTCTTGGTTTTTAATATATTCATAAATCTTTGCAAATAGCATGAAAATAAAAGTATATTGTCTTAGGATACCTATACATGTCAAGCAATAAATGTTAATGAATACAAATCTAAATTATTGTACTTGTCGCAGTCAGCTCATATCTATGTGTTTGTTTAAAAATTTAATTTACTCGACTAATCTCAGTTTACTTCTAGGTTAAACAAATTTTAGGTCAGGAAATAGTTAAATATTTGAATTTTTGTTTCGTATATTTTCCTAACTGATAAATTTGTGTTGGCAAGCTAAAACTAAGATCCGTATATTATAAAACTTTAAACAAATTTTTACAAGCGTATATCAATTTATTAATTGTGATGGGTCATAATTAGGTGTAAGCAGATTAACCAAAGCCTCATCAGACCAAAATCGAGCAAATATCCTTAATATCAAAATACTTAAAAAACATCTTTCTTTTTCTTGGGATAGCTAAACATGAATATAAGCTATTTTTTTTTTTCAACAACGTAGAAGTCGCTAAAACAATTTTATCGATTTATTGCTGTAAAAATCTTCTAGCTCTGGTAGAAATTCTGATGAACATAAGTATTTTTTGAAATGTTACTTTATTTATTATAAAAAAGGTGATGCATATAGCTAAAATATGTACATAATTTACGACTTAAACAAAATGTGCTAAATGTCGTCAAAATATTGTAAAACATAACGCAGTTATAGTAATAAATAAAAAAGTAATTTTTTAAGGGATCATTTTGGCAATGGTATGATCAATTGATTTATTTTGCTCTGAATAAGTTTTACTAAAAATGTTTGCTCCTAATTATGACTCACCGAATATGGACTGTACCATGTAAAGTCGCTCCATATTTCAAAATATCGAAACGTACGAAATCGAAAAATGAGTAGCATTTGAGGCGAAGAAATATATTTTCTCTTCAACAAAATAGACCTGTATAAGAAAAAAGGTAGCTTGTAACAACTTTATTTACTTATGAACTATTTCCTGATTTTTGATATAAAATAAACATTTCCAAGATTTTTAGCGCGAAGAACACCTATCATAATACTAGACTAAAGGCGCTATCTGAAATTTCACCATCTAGTAACAACTTTTGTGGGAAGCAACATCTAAGTACACAATACTTATTTATCTTTCGAACAAAAATCAATCCACCTGTTGGGTATAAACCGCATAAGGTTGAGTTTTAAACGTGTTAACACATATCGAGAAATAAATATCAGGTTGTATGCTTCGCAGGTTAATCAGAAAAGTAAATACTCGTCATATCAGTCCCGTTATCATTTTTATCAATTTGTTATTGGTTTAAGTTAATTCGTATTGCAATAAATAATACTTTTCGCCTTATACCATATCTAAAAATACAATAACTAATTGTAATCAGTCTTCAGTTAAGGTAAATGAGGCCACGCCCTACGAAAACTTGTTCCGCAAAACATATTCGTCATCGTCCAATTTCGTGATGACGGATTTGTTCTAAGGATTGTTTGTACAAGTGCGAGTCCTTTGGTTGTATTGATCGACTTAAAATAAAGGCTCCGTCTCTGCTGTGTTGTCGATAGACCCTCAAATTAAATTAAAAATGGGAACTGACTCGAGAAAATTGCGAGGCACAAAGGGTATCAAAGTTGTAACTCACCCATTCTATCGCGTTCAAAAACAGCATTACATATTTGATGACGGCGATTTGATTTTCCAATTTAAGGATATTCCCTTCTCCTTCCCCATCACCTTTGCCAGCCATTTTCCACAACAAAGGAAACAATCAATCTATAACGACGGTAAATACAAAGAGAACCGAAACCGCACTTTGCGCGAAGTCTCACTCAACTATTTTGTGTTAATTCCAGCTCACCCAGTTTCATCCGATAAGATAATTATTATCATTAATTAAACAGTATTACTAACCCATTCACGTATGCGCCGTGTATCAAATCTACGAAGTTCTAGTTGCGTCGGTGTTGTTTAAAAACGCGATATTTATTACGGGAATTGCCCTGAGTCACCAAATTTATTGACAATAAAAGGTTTTTCGGAATTTTTTTCGGTGTACAATGCGAACGTCACAATTCACACTGTAGTAAATAACAGGAAGGGAGATTCCTCGGTAAATTCTACTGCTCTTTTATGGTATTGATTCGGATATGTTCCTACATCTATTCCAATTCGACTTACGAGATTACGGGGTTACGGAGTTATAGGGTTATAGATTCATGGGGTTACGGTACAATGAAATCACAAATTCCAATATTTTTCTAATCATTAAATAATCAGGTCAGTTAGAAACCGCTTTCTGGAGACGTGTCTTGATGATAGGGTCAAAACACGAACTGATCCAGCCCACTTTTTGTATTTTGGAGAGCTGTGTTATTGAAACAGTTACTGCAAAATTCTGCAACATCATATAAAGGGTGTTAATTAAGTACGTACAATAAATTCAACAGACGATTATTTGTGTGATTTTAAGACAAAGAGTTCATATAAACATTGGTGTGCAGATGCTTCGTTTCGAAGATACAACTTTTGTAAAAAAATTGCTATTTCCTAAATATCTTAAATACCCTTTACCCAATTTTGTTGTAATTTGGCAGTGTTATTTGTAGTGCTAATTTAAACCTAACTTGATTAGATTTATTAAGTTCAGTGGTGTCCCGAATGGTACCTTAACGAATATTTTTATGATTATTTCCTATTTCTTCCCCATGTTTCTTGTGTGGTCCAGGGACATGCAATTAAGTGAATTTTATTTTTTTTCTCCAAAAATTAATCAAGATACGAAAAATATTCGAGTGATACAAAAGTTGTATTTTTAGTTGCTTAATCCAAAAAATATATAAAAATTACAAAAAAGTCAGTACCTTACATTTTTTTGTCAAACATATTCGTTAAGGTACCGCTTGGGACGCCACTGGACTTAATAAATCTAATCAAGTTAGGGTTAAATTAGCACCTTAACACAGCAAATAATACTTCCAAATTACAACAAAATTGGATAAAGGCTATTTAAGATATTTACGAAATAGCAATTTTTTTTACAAAAGTTTAATACCCTGTATCTTCAAAACGAAGCATCTACGGACCAATGTTTATATGGACTTTTTATCTTATGTATTCCCTGTATACATATAACGCAAATTACAAACACTCTAGCAAATTCAAACAAAATTAAAACTACATCGATTTAAAAATAAAACTATTGTAACAAAAATAGCATAATACGGAGTCCATACGAGGTGGCTAATGTATTTAAAGAGTTGTTACTATTTCAAAAAATCTGATAAAAAGTTTATCAAGTAATCAGCAAAAGATTATTTAGGTACACACAACAAATTTTGATAACATGCATTCTGTTTATGTTACTCCAGTGATTCTTCCTCTGACGTAATAAGAATCGTTAAAAACGTTAAATTTTAGCGTTCTTCTGGTCTTAAAGGGCCCTCCCTCATACTAGTAAATCTCCTTTGCGAGTGGAGCATTCCTTCATTGTTTGAAATCAGCTATCAAATCATTAAGTTTGGCAGAGAATGGGGTCATGCAGTAAATTTTCAAAAACGTTCTTATTTTGTATACACAAAGTATTGCTCATGATTAGGCGATCCTGAAAATTTCTACTTAATCCGTTGAGCGGTTTTAATTTATTAAGATTTTATACGGAGCATAGGAGCCATCAGCGTATATCTGGTTGAATGCAAGAAATCATGACATTTCAGTTTAAATTTGTAGCAACTGCTCACCTATCATCATTTTCACTTTAGACTCCATTTATTATGTTACAACTTTCTTATTAGATATGCCTGCTTATGCTACTTGTTAATAATGTTAACAAATAAGAATTTATTACATAAGTATTAAAATATATTCTAGAAAATTGTTTGTCTTTGGTTCGAATTACAATAATTGTTTCAGTGACTGTTACAATTGACCTCAGGTTTGGGGTCAATTGTACAACTATCCAATTTTTTTAAATTGTATAATTTTTTAGGACTACTCCTAATTGAATACCTCCTTAGCCGAAATGGTAATCAGTTAAATATAATGACGCATATAAAACTTTTCTGCTCCTTAATTAATTGTATTAGCCATAAATGACCTCCGAATCAATCCGGGATAATCAACCCGGATATTTCCTATAAATACTTGTAAATTTAGTTATACAGTGCTTTCGAAAAGTAACGAATAAATTCATTATTTTTTAAATTGAGAAGTTTTCAAAAAAATCCCCTGGCACGTCGATTTTGTTTTTAAAAAAGGCACTTTTTGACATGCGACCCATATTCGTGACGTCATCGTTGTTCGAGATATGACGTCATAGACAATTTTTTTAAATAGCAACCCCCAATTTTGACCATGCCATTTGAAAGAGCCTGCCATTCTACATACACAGATCATGAAAAATTATGGTGTTACATAACAAAAATTTCAAGAAAATAATGTGAAGATTTTAATATTTAATTTTCACAATACTGAAAATGATAATGATTATGTAAAAATCGACTAAATTAAATGTTCAAATTGTGCACCGTTGGCTGCCTGACAGTAACCAAGACGATTAATAAATTCTTTTGACATTATCAATAACTTCAGGAGGTATACGATGTATCTCGTGACGAATTCTTGCTTTTAAATCTTCTAAATTAAGCTTTTTAAGTATCCCCACAAGAAATAATCTAGGGGTGTCAAATCAGGCGATCTGGTTTGCTACTCAATCGGCCCCCTTCTCCCTATCCAATGATTCGGGAACAGCTCATCTAAATAAGCACGGACAAGTGTTGCATAATGGGGAGGTGCACCATTTAGTCGATTTTTACATAATCATTATCTTTTTCAGTATTGTGAAAATTAAATTTTAAAATCTTCAAACATTATTTTCTTGAAATTTTTGTTAAGTAACACCATAATTTTTCATGATCTGTGTATGTAGAATGACACTTTCTTTCAAATGGCATGGTCAAAATTGGGGGCCGCTATTTAAAAAAATTGCCGATGACGTAGTATCTCGAACAACGATGACGTCACAAATATGGGTCGTATGTCAAAAAGTGCCTTTTTTAAAAGCAAAATCGACGTGCCAGGGGATTTTTTCGAAAACTTCTCAATTTAAAAAATAATGAATTTATTCGTTACTTTTCGAAAGCACTGTATACTGGCTAATTATTAAATGGTGGAGATGGTAAACAAAATTACAGAAAATTTTTAATAGTAAATGGCTCAAATTACAAATTTATGAAATTCAGTACCAGTACAGGCACCTGACCTTTAGAGGCAGAGATATTTTAATGGTTTTAGTTGCTACTGAACTTTTAGTGTTTACCGACAGAGTCGCAAAGGTTCAGTGGGTTGTCACTTCCAGGAGACAAAGCGGTAGCATTTCGACTCAGGAAATTGCACCTTTTTTGCCTGTTGATTGCGAAGTGGAATTCTAATACTTATTGCTTTTCCCTTGATTTAGCTGCTGTTAACAAATTAATTTTATTAATTCCACTGATGAAAATATAATTCTAGCAACAAACTGCCCTTAAAAGTAAATATTATCATACGTTTGTGCACTGATAAATATTTTCGTACATATGTGAAAATATTTTTGACGTTTTTTAATATTATAGAGATGAAAGTATTTTAACCTCAAGAAGTGAAAATGAGACTAACAAATTTGGGGTTCTCTCATTTAAAACACTAGTTAAAATTTACGGCTTTTCAGAAAAGGAAATACTGCTTTTTAACTTAAACTTGCCCTTCGTATACGTTCAGCATAGGATCGGGTTCTGCTTAAATTTAAACTACTCATGGTTTAATTTTGTTTTTGTGTTATCTATTTTGGATTAATTTAATAGTTTGGATGCTGAAGAGGCTGAATAAGAAAAAAGAGTAACAACATATTATATTATATTTAGAATTTTATTGTTTTTTAATAATATCTATTTTAACTTTCCTAAATGCATCCCTATCTACTTTATGTAGTATGGTTCAGCTAAATTAGGTTAATATCAGAGGTCGTTGATACTGAGATTCGCAAATTGAATACATACACTACATAAGAAATAGTAACATATAATTTCCTATCCTCCTCTATGAATTCTCACAAAAGGGAAAGTGTACTTAACAGATTCTTTTCGCTACCTCATTTTATCCACAACACTATGAACGCCGCTGCTGCTATTACTACCTCGTCGTCATTCCACATTGTTATCGATAAACTAATCCTGTGTGAACAGTACATTTCCCATATTTACAGCATATTTCTTGAGGCTAAAAAGTTTATAGAACATGATACTTTTGCCTGGACACTGCGTTACCTATTACTGCGACAAGTTGTTACTGGCACAAAATATAGTTCAACAAATTCGATATTTATGTTGCTCCATGTCGCATCTGTCTGAATGCGTCTTATTTTCTTCTTAGAACTCTATATTAGAATTTTCTAACACAATTTTAAAGACATTGTGTATATTCTTGTTCAGTCAAATTCTTTTAAAAAAATTATACATACCTATCCTTGTCATAATAGGTTTAAAAATATAAAGTAAATGCAGCACTTTATTTATTTCCATTGTATCTACTGTGTTTATTTTTAATTTTATTTCTATTTACACTAATAACTGATGACTATAATTGGTATTATTAATGTACAAATAGTTATTTATTAATTAACACACTAATTAGCTTTTAATGTTTACATTGTGCTTATTTAAAATAGATGAAATACATTTGATTTCGGTTTATTTCAGTTTCGGTTATTTATTTAACTAAATGCGTTTAGTAATTATTCAAATGGACTAAAAATTACATATTAGTAAAAATAATAAAACATGTTATAATAACATATGATATGTCTACATTATG